GGGCGCCCCCTCTGCACCGACCCTTCTATTTTGGCACGGCACCGCTCCCCCTCCCATCCCGCGCGCCCCCTCCGCATCCCCCCACCCACCAGCCATACCGCCCCCTCCGCCCTGGCCCCTGTATTATCTTGCGTAGTTGTGTTCTAGAGCTCGGACCTCTTCGTTTTCGTTCGTCCTTGTTCCCCTGGTTCTGGCCTTGGACCCAGCCTGCCCCCCTGGTCTTGGCCCCGGCCCCCCTCGCCCCGCTGGCCCTGGCCCTGGACCCAGGCTACTCCCCTGGCCCTGGCCCCAGCCCCCTTCGCGCCGGACCCTTTATCTTTCGTTCGTCGTCGTCCCCCTGGTCCTGGCCTTGGACCCAGCCTCCCCCCTTGGTCCTAGCCCCAGCCCCCCTTGTCGTCGCCCCCCTCGTCCTGGCACTGCACCCAACCTCCCTCCCTGGTTTTAGCCCTAGCCCCCCTTGTCCAGCTGGCCTTGGCCCTGGATCCAGCCTCCTCCCCTGGCCCTGGCCCCAGCCCCCCTTGCGCTGGAGCCTTTATTTTTGTTCGTCGTCGTGCCCCTGGACCCGGCCTTGGACCCAGCCTCCCCCCTTGGTCCTAGCCCCAGCCCTTCTCGTCGTCGTCCCCCTGGTCCTGGCACTGGATCCAACCTCACCCCCAGGTTTTTGGCCCGAGCCCCATCGCCCTGCTGGCCCTGGTCCTGGACCCAGTCTCCTCCCCTGGCCCTGGCCGCAGCCCCCCTCGCCCAGGAGCCTTTATTTTTGTTCGTCGTCGTACCCCTGGTCCTGGCCCTCGACCCAGCCTCCCAAGCCCCAGCCACCCTCGTCGTCGCCCCCCTGGTCCTGTCCTTGGACCCAGCGTCCTCCCCTGGCCCTGGCTCCAGCAGGACCCTTCATTTTCGCTCGTCATCGTACCCCTGGCCCTGGCCCTGGACCTGGCCTCCTCCCCTGGCCCGCCCCAATCCCCCTCGCGCTAGGCTGATTCAGCACCGGGGGGCTCTGGCCCCACCTGCCACTCCTCCTCCTCCTCCTCCTCCTCCTCCTCCTCCTTGTCTCCTCGATCCCCCCACCTGCGCCTCTTCCTCCTTCTCTCTTCTCGAATGTGCTAGAGCCAGATCACGCGTGCTACTTGTTTTTTTTGCCCCCCTCCTCCCCTCCCTTCCCCCAAACCACCACCACCACTCAAGGGGGACGGGGGGGGGCCAACCACCTCCTCCCCCCTCTCCTCGCACTCCTCCTGCATTCTTCCCCCTTGGACTGGGGGGAAGCGGAGGAGAAGGGAGGAGGACGACCAGCAAATCGCATTGGATTGCAATGCAATCGAAGTGAATTCCAATGGAATTGCAATCTCATTGTGTTGCAATCGCATTGCATTGCACTGCATTGCCTTGGCATTGCATTGCAATCGCACTGCATTGCATTGCAATCGCATTGCATTTGCATCGCAATCGCATTGCGTTGCATTGCACTGGATTGCACTGCATTGCCATCCTCCCTCCTTCATTCCCCCAAGGCCCAAGGGTAGAAGAGAGGAGAGGTGTGAGGAGATGGGGAGGGCCCGCATCCTTCCTCCTCCCTCCCCCCCCATGGCCCTGCAATCGCATTGCATTGCAATCGCATTCATCGCTTCGCATTGCGTTGCATTGCAATGCATTGACATACATTGCGTTGCATTGCTTTGCTCGGCATTGCCCAGCATTGCGTTACATTTCTTTCAGTTACTTTGTATTGTTTTCATTGCTTGGTATTGAGTTGCATTGCCTTGCATTGCTTTGCATTGCTTTAAAATTCCTTCTTATTGCTTTGCATTGCAATGCATTGCTCTACATAGCCTTGCATTCCAACGTATTGCTTTGCATTGCGCTGCCTTGATTTGCATTGCTTTGCATTGCCTTGCATTATTTTGACTTGTCACGTCTTGCATTGCCGTGCATTGCCGTGCATTGCAATGCATTGCATTGCACTGCATTGCATTGCCATGCCTTGCTTCGAATTGCGTTGCTTTGTATTGCAATAAATTGCTTTGCATTGCTTTACGTTCCGATGCATTTTTTTCCATTGCTTTGCATTGCCGTCCATTGCTTTGCAATGCTTTGCATTGCAATGTATGGCGTTGCATTGCAAGGCAGTGCTTTGCATTACCATGCATTGCGGTACATTGTCATGCTTTGCAACTCATTGCTTTTGCATTGAGAAGTATTGCTTCGCCCTGCAGTAGTTCGCGTACCGTTGCATCTCTTTGCGTTGCCTTGTATTGCCTTGATTTTTTGCCCATTGTAATGCATTGCAATGCAAGGCTTTGCATTGCTTTGTATTGCGTTGCACTTCACATCATTGCCTTGGATTGCTTTGCACTGCTCTGCATTGCTTTGCTTTGCTTTGCATTGCCTTGCATTGATTTGCATTGGGTGGCATTGCTTTGCATTCGTGTGCAATCCCTTGCATTGCCTTGCATGGCCATGGCACTTCATTGCTTTGCATTGCGCTGCATGGCAATGCATTGACGTATTGCCTGACGTTGTATTGCGTTACATTGCAATTCGGTGCTTTGCGTTGCTCTGCTGTGATTCGATTTGCGTTGCATTGCATTGCCCTGTATTGCGTTGCCTTGCGTTGCATTGCCCCCAATTGCTTTATACGGCCGTGCATTGCGTTGCATGAAATTGCGTTGATTGTTTTACACTACTTCGCCTTTCTTTGTATTGCAATGCAGTGCTTTGCATTGCTGTGCACTGCCTTGCCTGGTATTGCATTTCCTTGCGTTGAATTGCGTTGCGTTGCGCTGCATTGCAATGCATTGCATCGCATTGTGTTGCACTGTGCTGCATTGCCTTGCATTGCTGTGCATTGCAATGCACTGCAATACATTGCGTTGAATTGCTTTGCATTCCAACGGATTGCTTTGCATTGCTGCGCATGGCTTTACAGCGCTGTACAATGCCTAGCATTCCAATGTAATCGAGTGCATTGCGATGCATTGCAATGTATTGCTGTGCAATGCTTCGCAATACGTTGCATTGCAATGCAAACAGTGCATCGGTTTGCATTGGCATTGCAATGCAATGTATTGCATGGCGTTGCATTGCTTTGCGATGCATTGTGTTGCGTTGCTTTGCAATGCGTTGCATTGCACTTCGTTGCTCTGCATTGTGTTGCATTGTCTTGCATTGCGTTGCGTTGCGTTGCATTGATTTGCAGTGCGTTGCATTGCTTTGCCTGGTGTTTGCATTGAGTTGCATGGCATTGCAATGCATTGGGTTGCATTGCTCTGCATCCCAACGAATTGCTTTGCATTGCAATGCATTGTTTGGCATTGCCTTGCAACCCGTTGCTTTGCCTTGCGCGCTGCCGCCCCCGCGTGTGGACATCGGGCGATGGGGCGGTGGAACCAACAAATCTCCTGCACGACCAGCAAGAACGGAAAATGAAAATGACGAAATCGCAGGTGGGCGATTAGGACCCTGACCTGGCACCAAGATCCCCACAAAGGTTTTCGAGGCGCCCCCAAGAGGCCTCCGAGAGACCCCCAAGAGATCCCGAGATGACCCCAGGAAGCCCACGGAGGGCCCTCACGAGCCCTCCAAGAGGCGTCGTCAGGTACCATAGTCTGCATCCACGAGGCCTCTGACCCGAAACCCAGCGACAGTGGCGGGATAGGCCGAACGCCACTCCTGTGTGCATGTATATATATATGTATGTATGTATATATTGATGTGTATATATATATAGACACGTATAAGCATGCGATATGATAGCAAAAGTGTACGCGTAAACCCACTGGCGCACAACATAAACATATTGCTGCATCCGTCCATCTGCTTGCGTTAGTCTCAGTTGTCCAGTGAAAAAAACAACAGCATGCAAGCGCACAAACTTTAGTGAACAAATGGATATCCCAAACGCCCCAACGTACCCACGGCACGCAATGGATCAATATACTACTCCTGTGGTGCCTGGCTCGGCCACTGTGGCTTCGTAAGAAAGGCGGGCCTTCCTTGCCGCAATCCACCCGTTGGCCACCCCTCAAGACGACCATTAACATCAACACGAACCGTACGGCATATTCGTAGGCATGTGAATCAACATAATTCTCATCATAAGCACGAGCAGCGTTCCAAGCGTAACCAAACATGGTGTCACAACAAAAGATCTTCTCTGCCACTGACCGCTTGCGAAAACCGTTCACGGGATGAATAGACGCATGTATTGCTTACCTGCGGCCCCGTGCCAACGGCATATGGCGCATTTGTGGGTTCCGGAAATTCTGAACCAAAAAACCTTGACATCTCTTGGGTTGTCAATTTTTGCTTCCGCCGGCTTCCGCCAGCCTTCCGCCGACGGAGGCGGCCTCGTTTACTTCCCCCGGCTTCCACCGACTTCTGCCGAGCAAGAGATGACAATTTCTTCGACCCTCGAAGGGGAGGCCTTTTCTGGAACCACTCATGTACGGCCGACCAGAAGGCCCCAAGAAACTCCATGTAATCCCGCGAGCACCCTCTAATCACCCTGCCGAGAAGAACTTATTGCGGCCACGCAACGGTACAACATGTTTGCGCTGCTTCCCAGGCTACCCCGAGTTGCTTCTACCAATCCTTTTCGGGATAGCTCGGCAGAGCCGTTGCTCCCAAGACGGCCCAAGAACGTCCTAGGGGCCCACGGGTGTTCAACAGAACCGAGATTCTTCCCGAGCCTTTTTTAGAGAGCTCGATAGAAGTATCTCAAGTATCTCGAGGGAGAAAGAAGAGAGGAGGGGGGAGACAAACGGCGTTGACATCGTGGCTGGCTGGGTTTGCCGCAGGGAGATTGCTAGTTTCAAGATGCATTCACAATTCGGCACTTTCAATCAGTATTGCAGCAATTGCCGTCACCATTGCCCTGGACACTGCTTGTAACATGCACGGGGAAACAAACCCACACCAATGTAATCGGCTGGGTCGACATCACCTTCCGCGCTGTCAGCGAAGAGCTTCCGTTCATTCCCGTGGAGGCAGGTGGGGGAGGGGGCGGGTCCTCACACTTGCGGTCGTCGGGGTGCCGGCTGAGTTGCGTCTTGGTGAACTTCGCGCCCTCCTCCGTGGACATGTCGCACAGCATGCACACAGCCTCTCTGAAGGGGAATCTGCTGAATCTGATGACTGCGCTGCTCCGCAGAGGCCCAATTATGGGCGCGCAGACCTGGAATGCTCGCAGAAGCTAGCCAGTCTGAGAAGCGAGCCACCGTACTCAAGCACTGTTCGTGGTCGCGTGTGAAGAACATCCAACTCACCGTGACGTACACGTTAGAAGGGGGACCATGGGGTACCCGTGATAAGAACTTATCCGTCTCCTCATTCTAAGCTCACCCTTTTCTCCCTCTGGAGCCTCCTCTGCCTCCTTTCCACCTCCACCCCTTTCTCTCCTTTCCCTTCCCTCCTCTTCCTCTTCGACCTCACTCTTCGTTTCTGCCGCCCCCTTGCCGTTACCTCCACCGTCTCGACCACCAGATTTCTATTCTTCGTCGTCCTCCTCTCAATCAAGGCATGCCAGCCTGCTCTGCCATAGGCAGATGGACACAATTGCGGTCGAGTATCCGGAAAGCAAGTGATGATACGCTGCAATGGCATGAGAAATACACGCGAAAGCGGCCGTCCAAGGTGAGCAACCGTGGTTGAATCCTCATCATCCTCCCTTCCCTTGTCTTTCTTTCGGGTTTAGGCCCGTCACGGCGATCCCTACACGGCATTGCTACTAGCTGTCACGAAGCGCGGGCGAGAGAGATAGAGAAAGAGAGAGAGAGAGAGAGAGAGAAAGAGAGAAAGAGAGAAAGAGAGAGAGAGAGAGAGAAGAGGAGGAGGAGGAGGAGGAGGAGGAGGAGGAGGAGGAGGAGGAGGAGGAGGAGGAGGAGGAGGAGGAGGGGGAGGAGGAGGAGGAGGAGGAGGAGGAGGAGGAGGAGGAGGAGGAGACGGAGGAGACGGAGGAGACGGAGGAGGAAGAGGAGCTCCGTGGCCATTTTAGCTCAAGTGCGAACCACTGGCCCTGGTGGCTCGTGCTTGTGTGCAGCCGAAGGGCAAGCTCGAAGGCCCCCAGGTTTCTGGCTTTCGCTGCCCATTCGTGTGTTCGCCGTTCCGCCCAGTCTCCTGCTCTTGGGCTGTGCCAATGGCCGAAGGCAATGGGTGGCTTCGGAATGCTTGGACGTGTCCGAGCAAGAAGTGTGGTTGCAAAGATGTGTGTGAGTGGCGCACCGGGTGTTACAAGTGCGGCGCGCCCAAGCCTCGTGCTCTTCATGTGTCTTCTTCTAAGCCTCCTGCTGGGGTGTGGGCGGATAGGGGTAAGAAGGGCCGCCAGTTGTCTGAGAATCAGCAGGAGACCTGGATGGATCTCAATGATGAGCAGTTCCAGGCCTTGTGCGGCGCCCTGTCCCAGTCTCAGAAAGATAAATTGCTGCACTGTCGAGCGTTAGCGGCATCGGGATTGGCTCAGCCCGCGCTGGAGGTCTGGCAAGCATCTCAGGACGTGGGCACTCTCAGCAATCAACTCGTTCAGGCTCGTCAGAAGCTGGCCCGCCTCGAAGCTGACGCGAAGGATGCCATGGTCAGAGCTGTGGAGCAGCAGGACGCCCTCCGTGCTCCGGGAGGACTACGACGCGGCGCGAGCCAGGGCTTCGGCGGCGCTGGCCCCCACGGCGACGGCCGGCGGCGAGCTGCTGGCGGCCCATGCGCGTTCGGCCAAGCCAGGGCATCATGTCAGGCTGGCATGTCGCCCGAGGTCATCGCCAGCGTGCGGGCGTGCGAGCGGCTGCTGGGGGCCATGGTCGGGGTGCCCGCGGTGGCGACGCATGGCATCGGCATCGCTCAGGCTGGCGCAGCGCCTCGCCAGGCCGCGGCGGCGGCGGCCCCCGCGGAGCAGCAGGTGGGCGTGGCGGCCCCAGCTACCCCAGCGGGTCCTGCTGGTCCTGGCACGCCGCTGGCATTTGGCCCAGGGGTGCTGGCGCTCCCGCATCCTGTCGTGGAGCAGCACCCGCGCGGGGCAGCGTGGGACGAGCCTGGGGAGGACAGCGACGACATTGACCTTTTGGACGAACGCCCTGCGGTGCGGGCCCGGCGCGATGCCGAGCCTCGCATCCAGGAGGCTGCCTGCCAAGCCCTGGGCCGAGCTCATGACGAAAGGCTGCTGGGCCATGGCGCGCGTGGACGCAGCCGCTTGGCCACCAGGGACGCCGAGGGTCCGCTCCCGCTGACGGAAGCAAGGGGGCCGCGCCTGCGCGGCCTCGGCGCCAGCCGCGCGGGTGACGCGGCCGCTGGATGCTGGGCAAGAGCCCCTCGCGAGGGGACTGGCGGCTCGAGGCGCAGCTCGTCCAATTCGTCTCAGAGGAAATGGGCCATCTCAAGAGAGATATTCCGATCGCGGTGTTCCGTCGCCGATGGAACCGTGCATGGTGATGCTCTTCGCACTCCTCTGGTCGGGTACTAGAGGAGCCTCTTCGTGGTGGTGGCGCTCGTCTCGGAGGTGTTGGACAGCAACAAGTGGATCAACTTCTGGGCCATCAGTGTTGGGATGCGGGTGCTGGCGTGGAGTCAACCGCTGGAGTCGCCGAGTCTCAGCGTGCCGAGGACCCAGGCGTTGGGTCCTCTCCTCCCAAGTCTTGGACCTTTCGCACGTGCAACACCACCAGCTGGGCCAGGGCTCAGTGGTTTCTGGAGAACGAGGCAAGCGCTGACCTTGTTTAGAGGTGCGTGTTGCTCCGGACGCTCTGTCCGATCGCGAAGCCGCCATCGGCCAGCTCGGTTGGAAGGCCAAGGGCGCGCCGTCTGGGGCCACTGGAGGAGGCCTCCCAGGGGGAGCCCGGGTCGGCACCCAGCCCCATGTTGGCCTCTGTCAGGCCGCTGTCCCGAAGCGCCCCTGGCCTTCCGAGCGGGTTCTTCTGAGATGGGTCAACGGGCTCGTTCCTGGAGGCTTCCTGGCTGGGTCTATTTATCTGGTCACTGGAGGCGAGCTGGACGATCAGAGTTCTCTCATCCTGAAGCAGTTGGTGGAAGCTCCCAAGGCCATGGAGCAGCCCTTCGTCTTGGGAGGCAGCTGGAACATCTCGCCCGAGTCTTGAATCGAGTCTGGATGGCCAGCCGCTGTTGAAATATCGGTTGTGTGCACTGGGTCCTACACGTGTCGGGGATCTGGGTCATCCTCCGCTTGGAACTGCCTGAATGATTTGGTTGTCTCCGCGGGGTGTCTTCATTGCGTGCAGTGTTTAGACCGCCAGCAGGATTGCAGTGCGGCCCCAGAATGGGCTGTGAACATGGGTCTGTCGAGGAAACTCTGCCAGTTGCAGCTACCAGCCCTCAAATTGCCCAAGCAGTTTCCCTTGGAGCTTCCGATTGGTCCCAAGCTCGATGGTGGATCCTGGGGCGTTGTGCAGGCACGGCTGGATGGCGTGCAGACTGAATTCGACTTGCCCAACGCCTATGTGTGCTTCTACGATGCCGCCGAGGCTGGGCTCTCCCTGTTTCACGGCCAGGAGGCGCGGGGGGCGGAGCAATTCCACGGCCGCGGGCGAGGTGCCGCGGTAACGATGAAGCCCGTGCTCCCCAAATCAGGAAGTTGTTTCCCCATGGCGTCTCCCCGGGCGCGGGCGTGGAAGTTGATCTACAATCGTCATCTGAAGCTTCGTTATCTCCTGGCCAAGGGGCAGTATTCCTCCGAGGACGCTCTGAGCCTTCGTACCAAGATCCTCTCCTGTGCAGGTGTCCTCCGTTCGGATCAGGTCTGGGATGCGTTCAGGGCGGATCTTGGGACGTTGGAGTTGGGGCCCGCTCTGGATCTGGACATCTGCATCAGCAAGGTCCAGCAGGATGCCCGCAAGTTGGAGGGCGCCTTCGCGAAATTTAAGGCGAAGATCTGGCGGGAACACGTCGCGAGGTCGGTGAAGGGCGGTGGAGGTCTGGCTCGCAAGGTTACCAAGGTCCCTCAAGCCTGGACTCCTGGCGAGACCTCTGGACGGGGCTCCATGGGGCACCGACCAGCTCCTGGAAGACCTCGAGCAGGAATGGAAAAGGGTATTTGGGGGTGGGTTTCGCACGACAATGAGCTTGACCGCCTCCAGGACATGCGCTCATGCATGCAGGATCTCGAGCTGGAGCCCGTGCCCGAGCCCATCTCTGTCCATGCCCTGCGCCAGACGCTCGACAAGTTTAAGAAGTGGACAGCAATTGGCGCCGATGGATGGCATCATCAGGTTCTTCGTCAGTTGTCCGATTCTGGCCTGGTTGCCTTCTCTACTCTGTTGTGGCAGATGGAGAGATTGGCCGCCATCCCTTACCAATTATGGACGGTTGTCGTTGTCGTAGGGTCCCTTATGAAGCCAGATGGAGGGAAGCGACTGATAAGCATTCTCACCACATGTATGCGCGTATCGTCCGCGTACAGGAGGGCAGACGTGAAGACGTGGGAGATGAACATCAGGAGCAATCTGGTATACGTAATGCAAGGCAAATTGTGAGCTAGCGGTCTGGATCCAGTCGGCCATGGTAGAGTGGGCGCAACCTCATGGCCTGTTATCCGCCTCTGGCTTGGTGGATCGGCAGAAAAAAGAACACGAACGCGCAGGACATCGAACGTTGCTCGACAACGCCAGGCAGCACGGGTTCAACATGCGTCGGTCGACGTATTAAGGACCCCGTGTATTACAGGTTGGATAGTGCGTCTCTTCGTTCTTCAGGGTCGCCCAAGGCATAATCGCTCACCGTGCATATGCTACCACCCTGCTCAGGATTTTTGTCACCTCGGTTATCGATTCGATGGTGCCTCTTGGGTTGAGTCTCGCGGTGCACCTCGTGGTGGATGATTGCACTGTGGCCGCTGTGGGGCCCACTGGCACGGTATTCTAAGGGTCTCGTCAGAGCCCTGAGAGCCCTGTGCAGTCAGCTGGAGGAGCTCGGGATGAAGGTGTCACCTACTAAGAACAAGATTACGGCGTCTTTGCGGTCTCTGGGGAAGCGGCTCGCTGAGAAATTGGCCCAGTGGAGCTTCCTCCTCCTCGTCGACGGGGTCAGGACTTTAGGAGTCGGTGTCTCGTGCTCGCGAGCAGCGCGTGGGGTCATGGCGTCTCGGATCTCGTTGGTTCCGCGTCG